ATTACAGTAGTCCAATCTCAAGGTGACCATCGTATGTCACCAAGTTGTTGCATTCAAGGAAAAGAACCAACTGCCTAATCGGCTGGAGGTGTTAAAAGGCTGATTTGGCAGTGGCTGCTACCTGGGCTTCCATTGTTAGTGAAGCATCCAGGAGCACTCCCAAGCTCCTAACCTCCATTGCTGGCACCAATAGTGCCCCATTGAAGGTCGGAAGTAGGATCCCTACCCTTGGGCTGCCCCAGCTCAGGCACAGGACCTCTGTCTTTGTCGGATTCAGTTTCAGTTGGCTTGGTCTAGGCCATCCAGCCATGGCTTGCAATGCCAGGTCCAGATCTTCCAGTTCGAAGTCAGACTGGCTGCCCAACAACAAAGAGAGCTGGATGCCATCTGCATATTGGTGACATGCCAGCCCATGCCTCTGGGCAATCTGGGCAAGGGGGCACATGTAGATGTTAAATAACATTGGGGACAGCACCTCCCCTTGGGGCACTAGCACCACACTTTGTCCCCGACCTTGAAGGAAAGAAGCCAGCCATTGCAAGGCAGGCCCCTGGACTCCAGTGCTGGCGAGGCGGTGGATCAGTAACTAATGGCTGACAGTGTCAAATGCTGCTGACAGGTCCAACAGCAACATCACTGCCAATTTGCCCTGATCCAGATGCCTCCGGAGGTCATCCGTGAAGGCGACCAGTGTTGTCTCCATCCCGTGGCCTGGGCAGAAACTGGACTGGAAAGGATCTAGAATGGAAGTGTCATCCAAAAAGCTCTTTAGCTGAATTGCCACAGCTGCCTCAATTATTTTGCCCAAATAGGGCAGATTGGAGACCGGCCAGTATTTTGCCAATTCGGCCAGATCCAGAGATGGCTTTTTCAGGAGGGGACGAGCTACAGCTTCCTTGAGTGCCCTAGGGAACTGTCCCTCTGAGAGGGATTTGTTGATAATCTCCCTTTGGGCATCTCAAAACCCATCATGGGCAGCTTTAATTAGCCATGATGGGCATGAATCAAGGCAGCACGTAGTAGGGCGTACAGTTAAGAGCAGTTTGTCAACTTCTTCCAGGATGAGTGGACTGAAATAATCCATAACCTGACTAGAAGATGTGCATGGAGCCTTGAGTTCACCTACTGTCTCAACTGTGGTGGGGAGGTCACGGCAGAGCGACAGGACTTTATCTGCAAAGTAGCTCTCAAAGGCATCACAGCCAGTGTCCAATTCCCTAACATTCGATCTGCCGTGTGGCAGAACAGTCATAGACTGAATTATTCTAAATAATTGGGCTGGGCATGAGCTCGCAGACGCAATCATGGCCACATAATACTCTGACTGCCATCTCATGGGACCTCATAAATGTCCTATAAGATGTTCTTGTGGCTTCATTGCAGGCGCACCACTATTGGCTCTCTAGCCATCTTAGCCCTCGCTTCATCAGCTGCGACTCCTGGGCAAACCAAGGAGCCAGTCTAGAGTGAGGGAACAGAGGGCGTTGGGGAGTGATCTCATCGATGGCCGCTAAGAGTTAGCTGTGCCAATCTTTCACAAGCTCATCAGATCCCGCAGGGCCATTTGAAGCCACATAGGGTCTATTTGGCTCCATGGGCAAGCTGAAATCTGATCGCCACCCAAACAGAGTTGGGGTGAAACATTCAGATGAGCCTTCAAGGCATGATGGTCTGACCATGGCACTGCTAAGGCAGTGACCTGGTCCACTGTGACCTCTGCTGCGAAGATCAGATCGAGCGTGTGTCTGGCCCGGTGAGTGGAAGTTGTTACATATTGGGAGAGTCCCAGCGCCACCACAGATGACACTAGGTTCATTGCATGAGTGGAGGCCACATCGTCCACATGTACATTGAAATCACGAAGGACAGGTCTAGGGTGTTCCAATGCCCAGCCCGACACGGCCTCCACCAGGGATAAGAGCATAAGAGACGCCAATGTTGAATCAGGCCAAAGGCCCATCCAGTCCAACACTCTGTCACACAGTGGTCAAAAATACCAGGTGCCATCAGGAGGTCCACCAGTGGACCAGGACATTAGAAGTCCTCCCACTGTTAACCCCCCCAAGCAGCAAGAAGACAGAGCATCACTTGCCCCAGAGTCCCTAACAGGCTGCTGGCCAGTTCTTTTTTCAGAAAACCCCCAAATATAAAGTACAAGCAAAGACAAGTCTTACCTTACAGTAATTATGTTTTGTTGTCATAAGTATTACTTTATATTTGGTTTTTAATATGTTTTTGCTGTTTTATTATCTGCAGTATGTGATTATTTTTAAAAGGGAATCTTTTTTGCCATAAGTTTTATACAATAATAAAAACATTATCCTCTATTCTTAAACAAATTCAATAAAAAGGTGTGCAATCTTTTTATCTGGGTCACCTCTAACTATGGGGCTGGCTATGGGGAAGGTGGAGGCCAGATAATAATCATTTTTAACGAAGTCCTAGTTTTACATTTAAAAACACTAGCTTATCAGTAGGCTGACATTAAATTGTTCAGTAGTTTGTCAGTTTTTTGTCAGTATTTGGTCAGTTTTTTTGGAATTTTGGTCAGTAAAATCAGTATTTTTGACCCTCTGACTAGTTTCCACCCCTGCGTATGAACAAAGTGATGCTTAAACTGTTTGGAGAAGCAGAGTAAAGTGAGCTAATGGTGTGTCACTAGGTTTTTCCTGCACTTTCATCATGTATTAGGTTTTGAGCTCTTTGGGGATAGTAGTAGATAAAACTTCAATGAAATTAGTGTAAGCTTCCCCGAGCCTGCAGGATAAGATAGGTATGTTAAGATTCCATGCACTTGATTAGAATTCATATTGCTTGCTACTCAATGTAACTTAGAATGTACAGAAAGTACGTCTCCTGTCACTACTCTGTACCTGATCAAATAAACAGAAAGCTTAGTTAATTGAATAGATTGAATAATCTCACATAAAAGTGTCTGCCTTTGGCAAGTATACGGAAAAAGCTTTTAATGTTTCAAGTTTTAATGAGCAATATAAGTAGAAGCATTTGAGTTTGTAAAAAGGAGAGGGTTACACACCACCCATATAGGTAGTCTGTGTCTCCATGGCAGACCATTTTGTCACTTTTGCTGACTGGAGCATTCTGTGTGCTCA